TAATAATAATACCCAGTAATAATAATACCCAGTAATAATAATAACCAATAATAATAATAATAATACCCAATAATAATAATACCCAGTAATAATAATAATAATAATACCCAGTAATAATAATAATAATAATACCCAGGAATAATAATGTTCCCAGTACACACACACACCTGTGTACACACACCAGTAATACACACAATACCTGTGCACACACACACACCCAGCCACACACACCTAGTAATAATACCTACCACACAATACCTAGTAATAATACACACACAGAGTACACACACTTGTGTACACACACACACCCAGTAACACAATACCCAGCACACACACACAATAGCCAATAATAATAATAATACCCAATAATAATAATACCCAGTAATAATAATACCCAGTAATAATAATAATAATAATACCCAATAATAATAATAATACCCAGTAATAATAATACCCAATAATAATACCCAGTAATAATAATACCCAGTAATAATAATACCCAGTAATAATAATAATATCCAGTAATAATAATACCCAGTTATAATAATACCCAATAATAATAATAATACCCAGTAATAATAATAATACCCAGTAATAATAATAAAAATAATAATAAAAAATACCCAGTAATAATAATAATAATAATACCCAGTAATAATACCAAATAATAATACCCAGTAATAATAATAATACCCAGTAATAATACCCAGTAATAATAATAATAATATCCAGTAATAATAATAATAATACCCAGTAATAATACCCAGTAATAATAATAATAATAATATCCAGTAATAATAATAATAATACCCAGTAATAATAATAATAATACCCAGTAATAATAATACCCAATAATAATAATAATACCCAGTAATAATACCCAATAATAATACCCAGTAATAATAATAATACCCAGTAATAATAATAAAAATAATAATAATATCCAGTAATAATAATACCCAGTAATAATAATAATAATAACCAGTAATAATAATAATAATATCCAGTAATAATAATAATAATACCCAGTAAAAATACCCAGTAATAATAATAATAATACCCAGTAATAATAATAATTCAGTAGACCTACCCTTCCTACTCTATATTTCCGTTATCTACACATAGGTAGACTGTTACTACATTCAGTAGACCTACCCTTCCTACTCTATATTTCCGTTATCTATACATAGGTAGACTGTTACTACATTAAGTAGACCTACCCTTCCTACTCTATATTTCCGTTATCTATACATAGGTAGACTGTTACTACATTAAGTAGACCTACCCTTCCTACTCTATATTTCTCATATCTATACATAGGTAGACTGTTACTACATTTAGCAGACCTACCCTTCCTACTCTATATTTCCGTTATCTATACATACAGGTAGACTGTTGCATTTTAGCAGACCACCCTTCCCTACTCCTCAGTAGATTATCTATACATAGGTGAGCTGTTTCACATTCAGTAGACCTACCCTTCCTACTCTATATTTCCGTTATCTATACATAGGTGGGCTATTTACTACGTAAGTAGACCACCACCCTTCCTGCCACTCTATATTTCCACGTTATCTTATGCATAGGTAGACTGTTTCTGCATTCAGTAGACCTACCTTCCTACTCTATATTTCCGTTATCTATACATGGTAGACTGTTACTACATTAAGTAGGCCTACCCTTCCTACTCTATATTTCCGTTATCTATACATAGGTAGACTGTTTCTACATTCAGTAGACCTACCCTTCCTACTCTATATTTCCGTTATCTATACATAGGTAGACTGTTACTACATTAAGTAGACCTACCCTTCCTACTCTATATTTCCGTTATCTATACATAGGTAGACTGTTACTACATTCAGTAGACCTACCCTTCCTACTCTATATTTCCGTTATCTATACATAGGTAGACTGTTTCTACATTAAGTAGACCTACCCTTCCTACTCTATATTTCCGTTATCTATACATAGGTAGACTGTTTCTACATTCAGTAGACCTACCCTTCCTACTCTATATTTCCGTTATCTATACATAGGTAGACTGTTACTACATTAAGTAGACCTACCCTTCCTACTCTATATTTCCGTTATCTATACATAGGTAGACTGTTTCTACATTCAGTAGACCTACCCTTCCTACTCTATATTTCCGTTATCTATACATAGGTAGACTGTTACTACATTCAGTAGACCTACCCTTCCTACTCTATATTTCCGTTATCTATACATAGGTAGACTGTTCCTACATTAAGTAGACCTACCCTTCCTACTCTATATTTCCGTTATCTATACATAGGTAGACTGTTACTACATTAAGTAGACCTACCCTTCCTACTCTATATTTCCGTTATCTATACATAGGTAGACTGTTACTACATTCAGTAGACCTACCCTTCCTACTCTATATTTTAGTTATCTATACATAGGTAGACTGTTGCTACATTCAGTAGACCTACCCTTCCTACTCTATATTTCCGTCATCTATACATAGGTAGACTGTTACTACATTTAGCAGACCTACCCTTCCTACTCTATATTTCCGTCATCTATACATAGGTAGACTGTTACTACATTTAGCAGACCTACCCTTCCTACTCTATATTTCCGTTATCTATACATAGGTAGACTGTTACTACATTCAGTAGACCTACCCTTCCTACTCTATATTTTAGTTATCTATACATAGGTAGACTGTTACTACATTCAGTAGACCTACCCTTCCTACTCTATATTTCCGTCATCTATACATAGGTAGACTGTTACTACATTCAGTAGACCTACCCTTCCTACTCTATATTTCCGTTATCTATACATAGGTAGACTGTTACTACATTTAGCAGACCTACCCTTCCTACTCTATATTTCCGTCATCTATACATAGGTAGACTGTTACTACATTTAGCAGACCTACCCTTCCTACTCTATATTTCCGTTATCTATACATAGGTAGACTGTTTCTACATTCAGTAGACCTACCCTTCCTACTCTATATTTCCGTTATCTATACATAGGTAGACTGTTACTACATTAAGTAGACCTACCCTTCCTACTCTATATTTCCGTTATCTATACATAGGTAGACTGTTACTACATTCAGTAGACCTACCCTTCCTACTCTATATTTCCGTTATCTATACATAGGTAGACTGTTACTACATTAAGTAGACCTACCCTTCCTACTCTATATTTCCGTTATCTATACATAGGTAGACTGTTACTACATTCAGTAGACCTACCCTTCCTACTCTATATTTCCGTTATCTATACATAGGTAGACTGTTACTACATTCAGTAGACCTACCCTTCCTACTCTATATTTCCGTTATCTATACATAGGTAGACTGTTACTACATTTAGTAGACCTACCCTTCCTACTCTATATTTCCGTCATCTATACATAGGTAGACTGTTACTACATTTAGCAGACCTACCCTTCCTACTCTATATTTCCGTTATCTATACATAGGTAGACTGTTTCTACATTCAGTAGACCTACCCTTCCTACTCTATATTTCCGTTATCTATACATAGGTAGACTGTTACTACATTCAGTAGACCTGCCCTTCGTGGTCTATTATTTATGTATTTTTGTGTTTTTTCTTATTGGTGGGTGTTATTGTAATTCGTTAATCCCATTTTTTTTGCCAGTATTTATGAAATGTTAAGTTTTACTTTTTTGTTCAGTCATTTTTTGACTGAATGAGGTATTTTTCCACTTATATTAGTACTACTAGATCCTTATTATTATTTTTTCCATTTAATTTTTGGATACTCAAATCCTATTTTTCTCTTTTTGTGCTATAGTATATTTACTGTTAACTTTTATATTTCTACCTATTTGTAACTATATTTTATAGATTTTAATAGCATAAATATTATTTTGCTACCTTTCTTCCCTTTTTCCCCCCACTTCCTGTTTTATCCTCTGTGGTGTTTATGAGGGAGCCCCCATTGACCCAATTTAGCTGCCTTTTTGTGTTTATTTGAGTTGGAGAGCACTGATCCCCTATCTCATTCCTTTGTTGTCCAGTAAGTGTAGGTCATCATAAAGAGGTCCCCCTCCTGCTGAAAGGAAGGGGGCCTCCGCCAAACTTTCACTAGTTGTTATTAGTCCTCCACCTCCTTTGCCTTCACTTCTATTAGCTCTTTTCTTGGTTTGAATGTTGTGCCAGGTAGATGCCGAACCTCTGGACTAGTGGCAAATGCTAAACCTATGTGGGAATTCCAGGCGCTTTGCATGTATCTCCTGCTGGTGAAAGTTTGGCTTTCCCAGCCAACATAAAGGGCTCCGCTGCCTGGAGGGAAAGTGGACATAGGGAGGTGGAGGGAAGGGTGTGCAGTTGCATTTTGTCCTGCACCAGTTGTTAGTGTGATCAGAGCAGGCTAAGTCACACACTGTATTAACCCTTTATGCACACTATCTGCACTGGAGGATTAATTATGGATAGAATAGACATTAAACGTGATCCGTTAATGTCTGGTTGGCTGTATTCTGATATGTACCCAATGCTAAAATAAAATACAAAAAAGCAACAGCATATTTTAATTCCTTTTAATTGGTCACAATATATTAACAACTGATCTCTTCATATGGAGCGTTAATTTGGTATTAAACCTGTACACAAAGCAGGTTATGCCGGTTAATATTGTGTGTGTGCCAGAGGACATGGGGAGTCTGAGGGCCTGTCATCCCCTCCCGGTGGCTGTCAGAATAACCAGGACATGGGGAGTCTGAGGGCCTGTCATCCCCTCCCGGTGGCTGTCAGAATAACCAGGACATGGGGAGTCTGAGGGCCTGTCATCCCCTCCCGGTGGCTGTCAGAATAACCAGGACATGGGGAGTCTGAGGATCTGTTCTCCCCCAGGGCTGTCAGAATAACCAGGACATGGGGAGCCTGAGGGCCTGTCAGAATAACCAAGACATGGGGAGTCTGAGGACCTGTCTTCCCCGGGGGCTGTCAGAATAACCAGGACATGGGGAGCCTGAGGGCCTGTCAGAATAACCAAGACATGGGGAGTCTGAGGACCTGTCTTCCCCGGGGGCTGTCAGAATAACCAAGACATGGGGAGTCTGAGGACCTGTCTTCCCCGGGGGGCGGGGGCTGTCAGAATAACCAGGACATGGGGAGTCTGAGGGCCTATCAGAATAGCCAGGACATGGGAGGCCTGAGGGCCTGTCAGAATAACCAGGACGTGCGGAGACTGAGGGCCTGTCCTCCCCCAGGGTTGTCAGAATAACCAGGACATGGGAAGCCTGAGGGCCTGTCAGAATAACCAGGACATGGGGAGCCTGAGAACCTATCAGAATAACCAGGACATGGGATGCCTGAGGGCCTGTCAGAATAACCAGGACGTGCGGATACTGAGGGCCTGTCCTCCCCCAGGGTTGTCAGAATAACCAGGACATGGGAAGCCTGAGGGCCTGTCAGAATAACCAGGACGTGCGGAGACTGAGGGCCTGTCAGAATAACCAGGACGTGCGGAGACTGAGGGCCTGTCCTCCCCCAGGGCTTTCAGAATAACCAGGACATGGGGAGCCTGAGGGCCTGTCGTCCCCCAGACTGTCAGAATAACCAGGACGTGGGGAGCCTGAGGGCCTGTCCTTCCCCAGGGCTGTCAGAATAACCAGGACAAGGGGAGCCTGAGGGCCTGTCCTCCCCCAGGGTTGTCAGAATAGCCAGGATATGGGGAACCTGAGGGCCTGTCCTCCCCCGGGGCTGTCAGGATAACCAGGACATAGGGAGCCTGAGCCTGTCCTCCCCTGGGGCTGTCAGAATAACCAGGACATGGGGAGTCTGAGGGTCTTTCCTCCCCCGGGGCAGTCAGAATAACCAGGACATGGGGAGCCTGAGGGCATGTCCTCCCCCAGGGCTGTCAGAATAACCAGGACATGGGGAGCCTGAGGGTCTTTCCTCCCCCGGGGCTGTCAGAATAACCAGGACATGGGGAGACTGAGGGCCTGTCAGAATAACAAGGACATGGGGAGTCTGAGGGTCTGTCCTCCCCCAGGGCTGTCAGAATAACCAAGACATGGGGAGTCTTAGGGTCTGTCAGAATAACCAGGACATGGGAAGCCTGAGGGCCTCTCCTCCCCGTGAGCTGACAGAATAACCAGGACATGGAAAGGCTGAGGGTCTGTCCTCCCCCGGGGCTGTCAGAATAAGCAGGACATGAGGCGTCTGAGGGCCTGTCCTCCCCTGGGGCTGTCAGAATAACCAGGACATGGGAAGCCTGAGGGCCTGTCCTCCCCGTGGGCTGACAGAATAACAAGGACAGGGGGAGCCTGGTGGTCTATCATTCTTGCACCCCCTAGACACCATCCATTACAACAAACACTTTTTTCCATAGTTTTCAATTAGTTGTGGCTAGCACTTGCCACCAGTCCACCCTTCTTACTGCCATGGAAAGGATGTGTCTGATTGCCCCAGTAAACTAAATCCCCATTTTACATGCACCCGAGCAATCACCCCTTAGGGCAAGCTATAAAGAGGTAAAATACCTGTCTGTTCATGGTTCAACCTGTGATACGGTCCTGGGGTGTCTAAAGTGTGATAGAAGCCGCCCCCTGCTTACAGGGTCTATAGAGCTATCGGCCACCTTCAATGATGAGGCGTATGGTATTCTCTGTAGGCCCAGCCTTTAATCCATATGAGTAGAATCAGTCTTATCGTCTTAGTGAGCTGTCATATAAAATGCTCCCAAGCAGGCATTACCCACATGGCTAGTTATATTTACGCTGTCTACATTTACCCCTATAAGTCCAAAGACTACTTGACAGAGTTATGCCTTGCTAGGAAGGACCGCCATCTGATCCCCAAAGCAGCGTTAGAGTAGTGTGCAGCTGGTGAAGGCTTCCTAGTGTGTGAAGTTGAGTGAATACCCCTTGGCCCAAGCTGCCTTAGAATGATGGGGGAAAAATAAAAGTGGTGAAAATACCAGAATAGCTGTCAATCCCTGTCTAATAAGATACGTCAGAGCTGGGCTGAGAGAGAGAATGATTATAATAATCCTCTATTTTGGATAAAATTAGGTCAGATCAGCAAAACTCAACAGTTTCATATTAAATAAACAGAAATTGTACTTTCCAGACACATATCACGCTAGATTGACAGAACCCAGGGGGTCACAGCCTCTTGTTCCAGAGATGGCACATACAGCCAGGGGCTAGTTAACGTTTCTTTTAAAGAGCTATAGTATATTGTTAGAAAAGTTACTTCTTTGGGGAATGTAGATAAATAAACCACACAGATATGTCTATCTAGAATAATACATATACTGATAATGTGTTAAATTAGGCTTCTCTTACAGTTTAATCACAAACATGGAAATATTGCATTAAACCATCCAAATAAAAAATAGTATTCTATGTTTTAAGATATAAAACAAACTTACAACATGTGTGCATTACTTTCTGTGTGTTCTGCATTCCACCCTTGGTCCCTGAATGTACCTCCTGTCCTTCCCGTGGTAATGTTCTTCCACAGAATGCTATTAAAATCTGTGACCCAAGTCTAAAACTTCTCTTCCAATCATGGAAAAAAGACAAGAGTAAGGATATGACTAAGGAGAGGTTAATTAAACTTATATACACCTCTAGGGCCTTGACCTTCAGAACGTGGTTTCTGCAATCAGAATGATTGACATTGTCATTAAAGGGACACTCCACTGCCCCCCCCAAAAAAAACAAACCCTAAATAAATCACTGTTTAGTATACATAACCTCAATGAAACTACACATGCATTCTTTCATTGGGGGTAAATCTAAAAACAAGCAAGATACAAAGAGGAGGATGCGACACCTGGTGTTAAAAAGTGGAATACTAAGGGAGTGAAATGGTAAGACTTAACTTTTAATAAATAAAATGAAAAAGTCCAAAAAGAACTAGACCAAAAACTAACCATAAAACAAGACAAATAGTACTATAGACAAAAATAATAACAAAAGATACAAAACATCTATTTAAAAACAGCTGGAGCTGTTCCACTAATGACAATGGTGTGATAGGTACCACAGGTGAATTCTTATTGGAATGTACCGTAGTAATTCGTATACTTGGGTAGATAACATGTGATGGTAATCATACAAGATCACATTACCAACAACAAGGTGTTTCTTGATAAGTCTCAGTAAATTGATGTTTAGTAGACATTCACCGAGTTTTAGATGTAGAGTTGCTTGAGATATACCGTGGTACTTGGAATGCTTGGACACATCACCTGTTATGGTAATAGTGTGAGATCACATTACCGCCAGCACAGTGGTTCTATTCAGTCTCAGTGAATCGTTATTTGGTAGACTAAATGGAGTCTTCGATATAGGATTGCTAATAGGCACACTCTGCAGTAGTTGGTATGGTGATATTAATGGCAGGAATGGCTACAGGTAAATTCTGTACACCATTTAAGTAATGTAGCTATATCTCCTACTGCTTAGTAAGGAAACAGACCTGATGCATAGTCATATCAGATACTTTATGAGGTGGAGAAAATAGGGGATAAGGAAGGTTGAAAGAAATAAGGGTTTAGTGACTTGCCCTTCCGTGCTCTAAGGGCACCAGGGACAGAGGAAAAGGGGAATAAGAAAGGGAAATAAAAGAAAGAAAATGACTTTCCCTATTGTGCCTTCGTGGGCACCCCTTACCCTAAAGAAAATCCCTATCCTGTTAATGCTCGTCACCCCAACCACCCCTGTAGTGAAATGTAGAAAATTAAGCACTGTTACCTGGCACTTATGACTATACACCTTTGACTATTTTGGCACGGCACTTTACCTGTTCCGTTGGCGACAAGGCTATTACGGATTTGGCTAGCCATTTCACTACAGGGGTGGTCTACCAAATAACTATTCACTGAGACTGAATAGGACCACTGTGCTGGCAGTAATGTGATCTCACACTATTACCATAACAGGTGATGTGTCCAAGCATTCCAAGTACCACGGTATATCTCAAGCAACTCTACATCTAAAACTCAGTGAATGTCTACTAAACATCAATTTACTAAGACTTATCAAGAAACACCTTGTTGGTGGTAATGTGATCTTGTATGATTACCATCACATGTTATCTACCCAAGTATACGAATTACTACGGTACATTCCAATAAGAATTCACCTGTGGTACCTATCACACCATTGTCATTAGTGGAACAGCTCCAGCTGTTTTTAAATAGCTGTTTTGTATCTTTTGTTATTATTTTTGTCTATAGTACTATTTGTCTTGTTTTATGGTTAGTTTTTGGTCTAGTTCTTTTTGGACTTTTTCATTTTATTTATTAAAAGTTAAGTCTTATCATAGGTACTATTTCACTCCCTTAGTATTCCACTTTTTAACACCAGGTGTCGCATCCTCCTCTTTGTTTCTTACTTGCATATTGTTTACTACAGGGGTTCTCCCCCACCTAGGAGGTATGCATTAGCTTTAGATTTTCCATCTTTGTTTCTCTTCTTTTCTGCAATTCTCATATAAATCTAAAAACAACTTGCAGTTCTCTTGTCTGTGACCTTTCCAAGACCTCACCTTCTAACCCCGCCCACACTTTCTGTGGTTGTCCAATCAAAGACTTCCCAATGCAGCTCAATGAGAAGTCTTTGTAAGGCAGGTGCTTTGGGCTATTGCTAAAAAAAAAAAAAAATAATCAGGAAGTAACAGGACCGGTTGTCTAATTGACAGCCAGGGGCTGGTAACAAGGTTCAGAAGTGCTTTAGGGGTCCGGTGTGTCTGTCTAAAAACTGGTAACATTCCTGGATTTGCTTTTATCACACACTGAGAGTCACTGACCCACAATCTCACAAATAGTTTTTTTATATACAGGAACTCATAATGCATACAAAAATTCACCCGCTATAAGATGCAGATATAAACGGAGCTGTGGTTTGTGCTTTTAACGTTATTAGGAAGACAAATTGATCCCAGACTTCCTTGCAGGTGACTCGTTATCGGGATCCCAGGATCAACACCTTGACGTTGGAGCCAAGTTGGCATTAAGAAGCAGATGTACATTTAGCATAAATTTCTTAAGTATTTCTTGTGGCTTGTGTCACCAGGACTGTAGACAGTGTCAGATGCAGTGGAAAAGCAATGATAGCTTGTCGCTGGAGCGCAGGTACTCCCACTCCTCCGGGGAGGAACTGACCATGCATTACGAGGTTGGTGGATCTGAAGCCACATTCTCATAGGCATCCATGTGTTTTGTCACACTCATCTCCCGGTACTGTAAGGCCTTCAGACCAGGGGGTCAGTGCAGTGGGGTCTGGTCTTTGTGTAGAGCATTTTCTAGGAACACCGCAATTTTCTGACAGTCGTCCTGTGAGAAGAAGCCATATAACAAGATGGAGCGTCACACCAAACAGGGATTATTTTATTTACACACTTATTAATAGCACAGATGGTTTGCATCTGGCAATTCGGGCTGATTGGTTTAGAACAAGTAGGTCAAACTCAAAGGCTAACACGGGCCACATAAACAAGGTTTAAGTTTATGTGGGCCGCAAAAAAATAAAACTTAAATTTTTATAGAAACATAGGTTTATTTAGAAAAGTAAAGTATAAAAAAGAATGTATATGGGGGTCTGCCTGTGGCATTTGTGCACTGTGTTTGTGGTGAAGCTATGTTTTATGACTTTGTGTGTATGATGATTGTCTTCAGGGGTAACTGTGACAGGGTGAGTAAACGGGTAACTGTTGCAAGGTGAGTGTGACAGGACAATGGAATGAATGAGACAAGGTTGGGGGTGAATGTGACAGGGTGAGAAAAGGTGAGTGCGACAACGTTGGAGGAGGGAGTGTTACAGGGTGAGGGGAGGTAAGTGTCACAGGATTAGGGGGTTATTGTGACAGTGTTAATGTGCCATGGTTGGGGGGTGCGGCGAAACCAACCTCGCCACGTGTCCTTGGAGGGGGCTGCTTGCCCGCCTCTTGCCTTTAGACTATGGCCCGTTCTTTTTTCCTGCAGAAAGGCTGGTTTGTGCCTTTCTGCGGACTGTTAAAGCCATGCTACCCCAGATAGCTATGCCATGGAGCCCAGCAGTATACTGAAAGACTGTATGAAAGACTTTGGCTCCATGGCGATTGAACTGTATGTATGTGATCTGAGCGCCATCCGTTAATAATGGGCGCTCAGATCTAAGCTATCTGGGGATAGGTAGAATGTCTGTATTTTATGTAATAAATGTAACCTTGTATATTTTATTGTATTTTTATGTCTTTTATTGTCCTTTGTCTGCCATGTGGCTAATGGAGTTTTGTGTCTGTCCTGGGTGATAATTGAATTACTCTCAATTATCTACAGGATCGAAGACTCTGAAACTGATTTGGGCCGGAAAGCCATGCTTCATTTAGTCACAAAGGACTTTCCCTTAACTTTTGAACCCCTGGTCTGATTCGTGCCATTTTTTAATATGTTGTTCCCCTGAATGGATTGATTATGAAAATGTATGTTTTATGTTGGTGACATGTATATTTTAGAAGTAATAAATATTGTGTAAAAACTGTATTCCTCTGCCGGCGATAATGAGATTACCCATTGTGTTCAGTAATCATATCACAGGCAGATGGGAGGATTTTGCGTGGGAGTGTCTGGGTGTATTGTAAGGATTGATTGGCTGTTTTGTAACGCCCTGTGGGCTGTACTATGTTTGTGGATTGGGAATAAAAGAGACTGTATGTGACAGTACAGGGAGTTCCTGTTTTAACCCTCAAAGTGAAGTGTCGTCTCATTATTGGGGGAAGGATTCATTGTATGCTGTTCCAGTTTGACTGCTAGGAGAGTAAACCTATTCGTATGGTTCCTATTCAACTGTCTACAGCATTCATATGCTTGAGAGAAGGTATACGCTTCTCTGGTTCGGTGATTGTGGTGTCTGCTGCAGTGCTTGGAGTCCTCAGGAAGCGCTAGGAGCATCCTTCAACGGAGGTACCCAGACGGGGTGCCAGGTGATCCGTTACATTGGTGGCAGCGGTGGGATGGCATCCTAGTGCGAGGTAAAGCAGCTCAGAGACGCAGTTCGTTTGGAGTTACAATTTGAGGGCAACGCCAGTACCCGTACAGCGCCCCTATCTACGAAGGAACTCAGAAAATGGAGGAGAAGTTGCAAGATAGATTGTACTGTTACGTATCCCTGAGGTCGGGAGCAGTGTCAGAGGAAGACATGTTGAGATACAGAGAGAGTGCCAGAGCTGAGTTGTGGGACGAAGCCCTAGAGGAAGTACAGTATTCGCGAGGGGATTGGCGCCACAGCAGAAGGCAGCGAATCTTGGCTCGAATGGCAGAGCGTATGCACCTCCTGAAGAAAAAGACCGAAGAAGCGTGGGTGATTAGACTCGAGATTTTAGTATATGCAGAACTGGCGCTCGACGACGCATACCAGGCGATACAGTGGTACGCAGCTCAGTGTGTCCCCGAGTTGGCAGAGTATGAGTTCCCAGAAGGCGGAGGTTACGCTGGCCCTGGCCTATTTTGGGACAATATTGACGATGAGGACTTTGGGAAAGCCACTGACTCTCGTTTTTGGGACCTGTGTTACGACCGAGAAGACATGCTGGGGCTCCCTAGCGCTATTGACCTCGAGGCAGACATACAGTATTTGGTCACCAAGGAATGGAACCTGGAGTGGGATTACCTGCAACTCATCAATGAGGCCCGGGAAGAGACAGCCGGTCCTCTTTCCCAACAGCAACCAGCGGTACCCGAGGTAGCGGACCTCCTAGACTGGTCCTGCGAGGGTCCCCAGCGGCAGTGTGTGTCCCAGGGAGCAGAAGGTGCCGTCCTTCCTCCCCAGCGGCAGTGTGAGCTACAGGGAGCTGAAGGTGTCGTCCTTCCTCCCCAGCAGCAGTGTGTACCCCAGGGAGCAGAAGGTGTCGTCTTTCCTCCCCAGCGGCAGTGTGTATCCCAGGGAGCTGAAGGTGTCGTCCTTCCTCCCCAGCGGCAGTGTGTACCCCAGGGAACTTAAGGTGCCGTCCTTCCTCCCCAGCGGCAGTGTGTATACCAGGGAGCTGAAGGTGTCGTCCTTCCTCCCCAGCGGAAGTGTGTACCCCAGGGAGCTGAAGGTGCAGTCCTTCCTCCCCAGCGGCAGTGTGTACCCCAGGGAGCTGAAGGTGCAGTCCTTCCTCCCCAGCGGCAGTGTGTGCCCCAGGGAGCTGAAGGTGCCGTCCTTCCTCCCCAGCGGCAGTGTGCCCCGGTGGGAGCTGAAGGTGTCGCCCTTCCTCCCTGCTTCAGCGTGTACCCCAGGAAGCTGAAGGTGCCGCCTCCTCCCCCAGGGCAGTGGGTATCCCAGGGAGCTGAAGTGCCGCCCCTCCCCTAGCGACAGTGTGTACCCCTGTGAGCTGGGAAGGTGTCGCCCTCCCCTAAGCAGCTGCAGTGTGTATGCCAGGGAGCTGGAAGGTGCCGCCCCTCCCCCAGCGTAGTGTATCCCAGGAGCTGAAGGTGCCGCCCCTCCCCAGCTGGGCAGTGTGTACCTTGTGAGCTGAAGGTGCCGTCCTTCCTCCCCAGCGGCAGTGTGTACCCCAGGGAGCTGAAGGTGTCGTCCTTCCTCCCCAGCGGCAGTGTGTACCCCAGGAAGCTGAAGGTGCCGTCCTTCCTCCCCAGGGGCAGTGGGTATCCCAGGGAGCTGAAGGTGTCGTCCTTCCTCCCCAGCGACAGTGTGAAGGTGTCGTCCTTCCTCCCCAGCGGCAGTGTGTATGCCAGGGAGCTGAAGGTGCCGTCCTTCCTCCCCAGCGGTAGTGTGTATCCCAGGGAGCTGAAGGTGCCGTCCTTCCTCCCCAGCGGCAGAGTGTCTGGCAGGGAGCAGAGACAGTCGGTCTCGCACCCCAGCCGCAGGACAAAATATTGAAAGGGGAGACCGCCTGTCGTGCCCTCCAGCAGCAATACTGGGTCCAGGGAGAGGAGCCTACTACCCCCTCTTCACAGCTGGGCTCCAAGCAGACTACTCCAGCTG